TATATCGCAAGCGAGGATAATTTAGCGGACATATTCACAAAACCGGTAAGTAAAGTTAGGATGGATAAGTTCAAACATTTTATCTGTAATTAGTTGTGAAGTAGGAGTAAAGTAGGCGAAGTTAGGACATTGCGAGCAAGGGGGGGTGTTAAGTTGTGCTCTTATGTATTACGTAATTTATGTTATTAAAGTAGAAACAATTGTTAGTTGTAATGTTATTAGTAATTACATATAGATAAAGAGCAAGAGACTCATGACTATATTTGGTAAATATCTGACCAATCACCGTAAAGCGTAACTTATGTAAATAGTGTATATTCAGGGACGCCGGAACTGGGGGGGCAGGGGGGGGCGGCTTCCCCCCTTGCCTTTTGCTAGGGGGGCAGGGGGGGCAGAAGTGCCCTTTTTGTTGTAAAATAATACGTGATAAATCACATTTCCAACGATGCTTTCCGTAGGAAAATCACGAGACTCAGGTAATTTATAGTTTATATTTATAAAAATTTTGGGAAATTTTTGGAATTTAGAAAAATATTTTGAAGAAATGGCGAAAATTTAAGATATCCGGAAAAATTTTTGGCTTCACGGAAAATTTTTGTATGTCCGGAAAAAATTTTTGACCCCTAAAATGGTACATTGACCGAAATTTTTTTGCAGTGAAAAAAAAAATTTTGCAGTGAAAAAAATTTTTCAGTAAAAGTGCCCTTGGTGTGCGTCCGCCCCCCTTTGCCCTATTATCGTTCCGGCGTCCCTGTGTATATTCATTGTAAAAGCGTGAGTTGTATTCTGTCGTGTAAAATAAAGCTATAAGAAACTTATGTGCTCAAATTGAATATAATAAAGAATGGCAACCGCCACAAAACCAACACAACATTGAACTTGGGGTACGGGGGCACTACGCCTTTCAAATTATGCGAAATTATAGCACCTGTCCCATAGTTTTTGGCAAATCAACCATGCATAAATTCAATCCTACATAAAATTAGTCATGCGTTAGATACATTATGCGTGGAAGGCTACTATGGCAAAAATCTCCAATTTCTAGACGTCGTGCGTTGGACTTAATGTACATCAACTTGTCTGGTACTTTGATAGTTTATAAAACACCTTCCAAATTTGCACTATATGAATTCAAATTGCGTTTTAATATATCATATATATATATATATAATTTTTGTGCGAAAACCAATTTTAAGGTGGTTTTGAAAACAGCCCTGCTGTACTCGAAAATTTACTTTTCAGAATAATTTGGTGATAGAGATACCAGAATACCCCAAATTACCCATGCCACATAAAGTTGTCACAAAGGTTGCGGAATTTTCAGTTTAGTGGACATTTTAGAATTGCGCACTTTTTATACACCCTGTAGACAGAGGAGGAATGAGGGTCTTCCTGAAATGCAACGCGCTCCTCAATGCGGCTCATTATTATTCAAGATATTTATTCTCAACGCGCCGCGCCGTTCGATCAAAAAGTGTTGAAATGACCTGTATATGAGTTTGTATGCATTTCATTTAGGACAGATAATCTCAACTGTTTTAGGGCAAGTTGACCATGACGGTCAACATGGTAACGCTGCCCGAACCCCAATCCGGGACGAAACGTCCGAAACTGACCACACCCAAAAACGACGCTTTCGCCATACTGCTATCTACCAAACCATAAAAGCTTTGGCTATTCTGAGGTGCTTACATGGTTCAGAGATGGTACTATTGGGGGTGGTCATTGGTAAGTGTGAAATGCCTAGCACTAATATTTCACATGAAAATGGCCATGCAATAATCATAGTTGCACGTCAATTTGTGGCTTGCAAATTCAGATAAACAGCAGTGGACTTACATTACCTTTTTCCCTGCATCTTTTTGATAGAAACATAAATGGTACTTATTTAAATATATTATCACTGATTTGGTGTAAAATAGTTAATATTTTCTGACCAAAATAATAATTTGAAATGCGCCTACCTCCTGCAAATGGACGTATTTGGCCAAGTTCTCCACTTTACTCCGCTGTTTATCGGCGATCTCATCGATATCCTACAAAAAATGTAAATCATCTCAGACATAATGGTATCAAGCACATTTTAAACAAGTTTCAACTTGGTTTCAAGTAGATCATACCTGTTTAACCATCGACAAGGTAAATCCACAACTTTGTCCAAATTCGGCGCCATTTTGTCATCCCATGTCGCTTGTTAACAATTCAGCATTGTTACTCTTCCATCCAAGCCATTTCCATTGCACAAATAACAAATTTAACCCTTTGTTAAGGGTATTAAAATAAAAATACAAATGAAATATGCGAAATGCAGCATTTTATCACCCTGTAAGATCTTGCTCACGAGTCTTTTAAAACATTCCGTACAAATCTCGCGTGACAAAGTAACAGGGACGTGACAGGGGGGGTGAATTATTTCACGAAGGTAGAAGAAGGCTGCGTGAAATAGACTAAAAGCTAAAGACAATCGTACAAACGTTTGTTTTATTTCTTGTAGCGACAAATATATACATATTATTATTTATTAATATGAACAAGTCATACAAATTAAATGCTGATTGTTGGTTTAATGGTTTTACGATACTGTGTGGGGCTTTGCTTTCATTTTTCAAGTCTCTACCCCCCCTGTCACGTCCCTGTTGCTAAACCACGCGAGATTTGTACGAAATGTTTTGAAGGACTCGTAAGCAACATTTTACCGGGTGATAAAATGCTGCATTTCGCATATTTCATTTGTATTTTTATTTTAATACCCTTAACAAAGGGTTAAATTTGTTATTGGTGCAATGGATATGGCGTGAATGGAAGAGTAACAAGGCCGAATTGTTGACAACCGACATGGGATGACAAAATGGCGCCGAATTTGGACAAAGTTGTGGATTTCCCTTGTCGATGGTTAAACAGGTATGATCTACTTGAAACCAAGTTGAAACTTGTTTAAAATGTTCTTGATACCATTATCTGAGATGATTTACATTTTTTGTAGGATGTCGACGAGATCGCCGATAAACAGCGGAGTAAATTGGAGAACTTGGCCAAATACGTCCATTTGCAGGAGGTAGGCACATTTCAAATTATTATTTCGGTCAGAAAATATTAACTATTTACACCAAACCAGTGATAATATATTTAAATAAGTACCAATTATGTTTCTATCAAAAAGATTTAGGGAAAAAGGTAATGTAAGTCCACTGCTGTTTATCTGAAGTTGCAAGCCACAAATTGACGTTTAACTATGATTATTGCATGGTCATTTTCTTGTGAAATATTAGTGCTAGGCATTTCACACTTGCCAATGATCACCCCCAAAAGTACCATCTCTGAACCATATAAGCACCTCAGAATAGGCAAAGCTTTTATGGTTTGGTAGATAGCAGTATGGAGAAAGCGTCGTTTTTGGGTGTGGTCAGTTTCGGACGTTTCGTCCCGGATTGGGGTTCGGGCAGCGTTACCATGTTGACCGTCATGGTCAACTTGCCCTAAAACAGTTGAGATTATCTGTCCTAAATGAAATGCATACAAACTCATATACAGGTCCTCGACTATATTGCAATTTTTGCTGTGAAGATCTCGTTTTCTCAAAGGTATGTTTTGATAACTTTTTTGTTTATAGGCCGTTTGCTGTGACCTCGAAAAATGCCTAGAAAATGATTTTCGTAGTGCATGTCTTGGAACTAAAATATTTTTACGGGAAATAACACTGTCGAACACGCTGAGTTCAAATCCGAAAAGTTCCCGCTCCGTAGACCTTGCGTTTTCTCACAAACTGCTATTTTATTTTCACTAATTTCACGACAAATTTTTTCTTTGTTCAACGACACGGATGGATGATGATACACGAATGCATAATTAAAAATGACTAATTCCTATGAACCAGTCTCTACATATAGCAAAAGACCGTTTTGCTCAGATCATTTTAAATTATGTAATTTCAAGCGCGTTGGACGTAAACAACACATCTTGTCTACAACTTTGGGAAGGCACCGATATCGCTTTCTAAAATCCTCAGTTCTGGCTCTATCTCTGTAAAATCAAAAGGACGTTAATGCCATGTCCTTGGGCTATGTCTCTGGCCTGAGAAATAATTCTTTACATGAGATCAAAATGTTTATACAACGATGTAAAACGGTAATCTTATATAATGGGTCAGCATTTAAATTTCCAACACAGTTTCTGAGACGTAATTGAAGAGGTACTAGTACTGTAACTTGTCATTGCATTTGAACTATTATATCAGTTGGTGTTATTCTGTGTGATAAGCGAATGTTATTGGAAAAAGGGCTTCCATATACGTTGAAATCACCGAATAAACAGCTCATGCACACATTCCTCCACTTCGCCGTAAGTATACAGAGCAGATTTTATCAGTTTCGTACTGTTTTTTTTGTCTTTAATGTGTACATTTATTCTTCTAGTTTAAGGTTATTTAAGATTGATCCTGTCGTAAGTCTTCAGCCAGCAACCCATCGACAATAATTCATGTTAGCGTTGTCTTTGCCGTTACATTGGCTTCGCGTTACTTTTGTTTTAAATACCATGATTGCGTTAAACGAGTTATTTTTCAGGCCCGTGACATAGCCAAAAGACTTACGAATGTCGTCCTTGTGATTTTGTAGATATATCGCTAGAACTGAGGATGTTAGATATAGCGTTATCTATACCTTCCCAAAGTTGTGAACAAGAAATATTTCATTTCCACGTCATGCACTACGAAAGTGAACGATATCGGGCGCGGCAAACGGCCTATTACTTATTAGTAATTTAATGAAAGAATTTTGGAATAAGTTTGTATATATATACAGTGTGTATAAAAAAAACCTGAACCCTTTCAAATTCAAATTAGCTATAACGTATTGTAGTAATTTGACAGCTCTAATTGCTTTAAATTAATGGTTGGATAAGAACACAAGGTCTTGTCTGTACTCATGGGACAAAACTCAAAGAAATAAAAATTAGAAAATTTAAAAGAAATACAGTATTCCTTCATTTCCTTGTGTTCTTACCCAATCATTAATTCAAAGCAATTAGAGCTGTCAAATTACTACAATACGTTATAGCTAATTTGAATTTGAAAGGGTTCACTTTTTTTTATACACCCTGTATATCGAATTTACTTATGTTAAATTCCCATTGTATTATATGCATGTTTCGGGTCAGTGAACATGACCTTAAAAGTGGCATTGAAATATTCATGAGTAAATTAAACTTTTTTACGAGGAAACTAAAATAAAATTACATCGGTGAATTCAGGAATTATAGTGATACTTTAAAACATGAATTTACTCCATAAAACCGAAGAGTTATCGCGGTTTGAAAATTAGCTAGTTTTGCTATTATAGAATATAGCAAAAATAGCTCGTTTTTAAACCGCGATAACTCTTCGGTTTTATGGAGTAAATTCATGTTTTAAAGTATCACTATAAAGAGTAAACATTCCTGAATTCACTGATTTTATTTTAGTTTCCTTGTAAAAAAGTATAATTTATCATGAATATTTCAATGCCACTTTGAAGGTCATGTTCACTAGTACTGGCCCAAAACATGCATAAATACAATGGGAATTTAACATAAGTAGCCTAAAATGCGATATGTACAGGGTGTCCCAAAAAACCCAAACTATTGAAATAACGTATTGTTAGACTCTGAATGCCTCAGCACTCTACTGAACCCACAAGTGCATAAAAGCTTGACATAAGTAAATTTTAGGCATAAAGAAACTGTTTAAGAAGCTGCTTTAAATTCCCAAAAGCAGAAAATCGTGCGCTTTACAAAGATATTTCAATTTTTTAATAAGTCAATATTTATAATATGAGCACCATTGTCAATATTTTATGCATCTTTGCGTTCAGCTTAGTGCTATGGCATTCAAATTCTAACAAAACGTTATTTCAATAGTTTGGGTTTTTTTGGGATACCCTGTATACAAAATTATTCAAAAATTATTTTATTAAATTACTAAAAAAAGTTATCAAAACATACCTTTGAGAAAACGAGATCTTCACAGCAAAAATCGCAACATATTTCAACAGTTTTTAATCGATCGGCGCGTTGAGAATAAATATCTTGAATAATAAGCCGCATTGAGGCGCACGTTGCATTTCGGCAAGACCCTCATTCCTCCTCTGCCCTGTAGAGTTCTCAGTATAAGCGCAGTTGTTTTAGTTTTGGTTTCCTGCACCTATAAGGGACAGCCCTAAAATTGTGGACTTCTATAGAGAGAACATTTCAGAACTGAAAAGGCAATCCAAAATAAAAAAAACTTATATTTCAGTTTAGTTTTCCTTCTGTAGTAAGAATTAGTAACATTGTTTATTTATTTATTTATTTATTAAACTTTGCCAAAAACACTTAACAGAACAGCAAATAGACATCTACACAATAAACATGGACAAAAATGGCAGGGACACCACAACAGTGTAAACCAATTACTGTGGGCCCTATACAAAAATACACATACAGTACAGAACATATAACATACAGTACATGGACAGGAGACTAAAAACAACAAGTTAGTTCAGAACGTAAGTAACGACTAGTGTTACACTTCAGACAAATAGTCTTCCATGTCCTCGGATCTTCTTCGTCGAAGCATTCTCTCAGGGCTGTCAGGTAGTAAGTTTGTAAATCGGTTTTGAATTGCCTAATATTAATGTCAGGAGATCTTAGTGTAGTTGGTAAAGAGTTCCAAGTTCTGGATGTACGAATAAAGAAGGAGCGTTGGTAGGTAGAGGTTTTGCATTTGGCCGGACGGAAGGAGATTTGGTTGCCACTGGAGGATCTGGTCGTTCTGGTTTGGGACATGACTTCGGGGAGGACGTCATGGGACACGTCGACCAAGCCGTTCACCGCTTTAAAAAAGAACACGAGATCCAAATATTCGTGCCAGTAAGATAGCGGTAAGTGACCCAAACTGGCAAGTCGTTCCGATAAGTCTCACTGCACAAGTACGGAAGGTTTAAAATGTACTTCGTTGCTCTTCTTTGGACCCGTTCCATACGTTGGATGAGGGTCACGGTTTGAGGCGACCAAACCTGGCTCGAGTAACCAAAAACCGACCGAACCAAAGACAGATACAGAGTCCGGCGGGTCCTCGCGTCGCTTATTTCCCCAGAACATCGCTTTATAAATCCAAGGAGTTTGTTGGCACGGGTACACCGGTCTAAAATGTGTTTAGACCAGGTTAGATCGCTCGCAATCCAAATTCCCAGATCATTCTCTGCTGGTATAAGTGCAAGTTCTTTGCCTTTGATGCTATATAGATGATGGATTGGTTGACTATTGATTGATTGTATAGGAAATTACACGGTTCGAGAAGTACTAATAAAAAAAGCAAAATCAAATCATTAATGAAAAATCGCACGCGGTATTATAAATATTCCGCCAAACACAAGTGTGATTTTTCATTAATACTTGGAGAACAAGTGTGATTTCTTATTAACATAATTTTATAGTCAACTTCACGAGCAATCAATGACAAGAAACATTGTGTTAAAATGTTTTCATGCGAGCACTGCCATACGCGCCTTTGTGAGCAATTTTAAGAGTAATTTCTGACATTAATTTTAAAACTGTGAAAACTGTGGATACTTTTTATTTCATCTTACATGGAAATTTCATATTGGGTACATCGCCTCTAATTTTAGTAAACGAATTGGTATAATTGCTAGGCTGCGTCATTTTGTACCAGTTAGTACTCTAATAAGTATCTATAAGTCCCTCATACTGCCTTACCTAACTTATGGTATGGTTGTATGGGGACGTGCTGCCAAATGTTACATTGATAAAATCCTTAAACTCCAAAAACGCGCTCTCCGTTTAACATATTCTGCACGGCCTAGCCCTAGGCCTTCTATTTTTATTTATATTTTTTTAATATTCAGCGCTTTTTCACATGAAAAGACTGGGACTAGGTGATTTGGGGGCGGGGCGGAGGAAGGACGCAAGCCTGACGCAAGCGAGAAAATAGAAGGCCTAGTCTAGTGGATTTCCCAACAACAAGGCCAAAACTGCCCTCAAACTGCCCTGATTGCGAAATGCCCAATTATTGCGTTCTCAAACAGAATTATTTGCAACTTAACAGCGAATTTAAACCGATACAGGTGAAATAAACTCATTTATAGTATAAACTTACTATTTTTATTTGTATATATACACGTCTAGAAAATCGGGTTTTTTATCATAAAGTTTGAAGCAACACTATTATTATGTTGACAAGGTGTAGCGAAAGCACAAAATAATAATTCTTTTATTCGCAAGACAATCTACTGTTTTGCTTTGAATAACTATATTTGCGAATGGGAAAGAGGATTTTGAAATTATTGTTCAAGTATTACGGATATACCATTTGTAAACAATGTACGTTTTATACAGTACTGTACGGGCTAATAATATATGTATCCGTTTTATTTAATAAATTATAATTACCTCCGCCAGGAGGTTATGTAATCATCTGGGTTTGTATGTGTGTGTATGTGTGTGTGTGTGTTTGTCTGTGAGCACGATAACTCAAGAAATACCAAACATATCCGTACGAAATTTTGTGAGTGCATTTCCCATCGGCTACGGAAGAACTGATTAAAATTTGGTTGAATTTGGTTAAAAATTGAATGAGTAATAACAAAAGTTTGTCTTGCTTTTCCCGGTCAATTAAATAAAACTTATACTGAATGCGTAATTAGGACGTGCATAATATATGCACCAGCCATTCAAATTCTAATAACAATAGATTACTTAAATATTTTGCGCGTAGGCGGAGGTATGCAGTCTCTGACTGCCCTCTAGTTGTATATGTAATAGTTTTGTTTGTGGAAACACCACGTAAATTTATTACTGCAAAGCTTTCTATCCGTAAGCCCGGATCTTCATCAGTGATATTAGCACTGATGAAGATCCGGGCTTACGAATCGAAAGCTTTGCAGTAATAAATTTACGTGGTGTTTCCACAAACAAAACTATTATATTTTATCGACATGCAAACATACAAAGAACTTATTAATTGTATATGTGTTTGTATATTTTACAAACACAAGACTGCTTCTTGCCAAAATTGAGAAAATATATATTAATGTAGTTGTGTATAAGACAAAATGAAAGATTCTACTTTTGGTATATATTTTGACTCATTTTGTGCTTTCGCTACATCTTGTCAACATAATAATAGTGTTGCTTCAAACTTTATGATAAAAACCCCGATTTTCTAGACGTGTATACAAATAAAAATAGTAAGTTTATACTATAAATGAGTTTATTTTACCTGTATCGGTTTAAATTCGCTGTTAAGTTGCAAATAATTCTGTTTGAGAACGCAATAATTGGGCATTTCGCAACCAGGGCAGTTTTAGGGCAGTTTTGGCCTTGTTGTTGGGAAATCCACCAGGCCTTCTATTTTCTCGCTTGCGTCAGGCTTGCGTCAGGCTTGCGTCCTTCCTCCGCCTCGCCTCCAAATCACCTAGTCCCAGTCTTTCCATGTGAAAAAGCGCTGAATATTAAAAAAAAAAAAAAAAAAAAATAGAAGGCCTAGGTCTAGGCTGTACTCTGCACACTATCTTTCTCATGCCATTCCTTATTTTCAGTCAACTAAAGTTCTGCCAATAAATTTGCTTTATTACAAATCGGTATCAATACTAATGCATGACGTATCAAAAAAGTAGTACCCCCAAATATTTCGGCTTTGTTTACCCCATTAAGCCAGGTACACGAACACGACACTAGATCTTCCACTAGGAAGAACTTTCACGTTGAATATTCAGGTTTAGATGTGCAAAGCAAGTCATTCTCAAGAATGGGAGGTAAAATTTGGAATAGCATTCCTACAGAACTACGTGAAATACCAAAGAATCGCTTTAAAAAAGTTTTACATAGAAAGTTACTTCAAATATTAGAAAAGAAAGACGATTATATTGATATTCTAACAATACAAAAAGAAATCGCAATAATCTAAAAGTTAAATCATTTTACGATTTTGGATTTTAGTCTGATCATTCGTTAGAGTTTGTGTCTGATCACTTGTTAGAGATTATGTTTGTATACAGGGTGTATCAAAAAAAGCGCAATCCTCGACTGAAATGTAAATTGCTAAACAAATAATAGACAAAAACGTTAAAGTCTACATTCATTTTAAAGCGTAGCCATTCAGCTTTCTAACAGTGGGTTGTTTCTTAAGTTTGACCCATTGGTTCGCGGGTAATAATACTTTACGTTATTGCGATTGGAGATTAAAAAAATTGAGATGGAATAACAAATCGTTCTCATGAAAATAACTGATTTTTTCATTTTCATTAAGGCTTTTCTTCTACTATTTTTAACTCAGTTTGAAACTTCAAATGCGATATAATTTTGGCTTGGACCATCTAAGCTGACTGACATCAACTTGCTATAA